TGGGAAGGAAGGTTGAGCAATCTTCTTCCATAGTGATACCGCCTCGGAAACCCAAGGAGGGTCGCTCTTAGCCCGCGACTCAACGCACATAACAACATAAGGAGCTCCAGTGGCGCAGTGCATAAGTCATTTGACTGCTAACAGGAGGTTGGCAGTTCAAACCCTACAGCCCCTCAGCCGAAAGTGATGAGATGACCTACTTTCACAAATATTTACCACCTTAGAAACTGAGTGGAGGTTGCTATGAATCAGAATTGACTCGATGGAAGTGGATTTTGTTTTGTTTTGTTTTAGCAGCCCATACCTTTTGCCTACAGCTCCCACAATGTCCACGTGGCACTTCCGGTCCTTGAGTCCGCAGAGACTCCATTTTCCAGCGGTCTGGGTCCCTGCGTGCCCCTGCTTAGAGCTCTCACAAGTAGCTGGGACTTCCGTCTGGTTCCTGAGACAATGTACAATCTCTCTCTCGGAGCCCTTGGCGTTTGCTCAGTTTCCTTGCTCCTCATCCCTGTCTAAGGCTCCTACACTGTTCTGTCCTTTAGCTCCCCTCCATGATACAAGGACTTGTTTCTCAGAGCCCCTGGCATTTGCTTCCTTCCTTACTCTGGTCTACAGCTCCCACAGTCACTGTGGCAGTGACTGCACAGCATGATGCAAAATACACTGCAAAAGCCTTGGTGCTTGGGAGTTCCTGCCTACAACACCCACAGTTCCCCATGATTCACTTTTCATCCCTTTAACTACCACAGATTCATTTCCCAAAGGGCTTGGCACCCACCAAAACCATACCCACTGCTGTGGAGTTGATTCAGACTCCTAGTGACCCTATAGGGCACAGAATTGCTCTACAGTGTTTCAAAGGCTGTAAGTTTTTATGGAAGCTGACTGCCACATCTTTGTCCTGTTGATAGGCTGGTGGGTTCCAGTTGTTTCCCTTTCAATTCAGAACTGAGCGCTTTCACCACTGTGCAACAAAGTCTCTGGCACTTGCCTGTCCCTGCCACAAAATCAAAAGAACCCCAAACCTGTTGCCATCAGTTGATTCTGACTCTGATCCTACAGGCCAGAGTACCACTGCCTCATTGGGTTTCCAAGGCTGTAATCCTTCTGTAAGCCAACTGCCACATCTTTTCCCCAGAAGCCTCTGACTTTTCAGTTATTAGCAGGCAAGTGCTTTAACCACTGCACCATCCGGGCTCCCTGTGTACCCGGATGAGTCAATGCTTCATGGTCCATGCCTTGTCCCTAGAGTCTATGTACATACTGTTCCCTCTGCCAAAGCTTCTGTTACCTCCTGTTCACCAGCTGGGCCTCATCAGAGTGCCCATCAAGGCACGTCTGACCACCTCCTGAAGACCAAAGGTCACAGAGGCACCGCCCATATTCACTGCCCTGCATCGGCTACACGCTGGGCCCCCTCAATGACACCAGAGTCAAAGCTCTCGTTTCGGCACCCCGGGGTGCTGTGCAGCTGGCCACATCCTCCCCCCAGCCCTGATCCTTCCCAGACAGAGCCCCCTCTCCTGGCAGCTGCAGTCCCAGCAGAGAGGAAGGGAGTCCCTGCACGTGACCCCTCACTTGTTTTTCTACCCATGCAGTTATCTCTGTGCACATCTGGGTTTATTCTCCCTGTCCCCAGGTCCAGGGACCTCATTTTCCACAATGTGCCTGGGAATGTGGCTAGTCTTGGATGCATGCTGACCTCATGCAGGTACAGGGTGGAGGGGGACACTATGGCTAGGCTGGGGGTCAGCATGGTGCCCTGCCCCTGGAGGTGGCTCACAGGGCACTAGGGGTTCAGAGTCTCCAGGTCCCGTTGCACACAGCTTTGTACGTGTCTGCTGTCAGGGGCTGGAAGGCCTGGGCCTGGTGGTCCAGTATGTACAGGGGGTCAGTGATGGTGCCCACATCGAAGCCTTCACGCACCAGTCGAGACTTCATCAGCTTGAAGGTGCCGGTGAGCTCTAGAGCATCCTGCAGACATAGCGACCACAAACCCTTGACTGTGACGCCCATGGCTGTGGCACTCCACCCACCTGCTCTGGCTGCCCTGGGCTCACCTGGATACGGATGAAGTGGGGGACAGCGTATGCAGGGAGCCAAGCACAGACATACTGGTACAGCTGCTGCCCGTCGAATGTTTGGCTGGGGGCCAGCTGCACGGCAGCCATGCCCACCTTGCCCTCACAACCTAGGAAGTACACCAATCACTACTGTCCTCGTCACGCTAGTCCTCGTCTCACCTGTAAGCACGCGGGGGCTCAAGGCTGACCCTCTTGCCTGGCCCAGCTCCACGGTGGCCCAGAGGTTCCCCACCGCTAACATGGGAATAACAACCCTCCATGCACAAGGTGGGTGAAGCATTAAAATCAGGGTAACCCTCCGCACCTGGCACCGATACGCCATAGACGTTCACATCTTGCAGGAAGTCCACGAGTAACAACACTTTCTCCACTTCCCGCGTGGACACGTTTTCCCCCTTCCATCTAAGAGGGCAAAGCCAGCATCTGTAACCATGTCTCTGGGGAGGAGGAGAATTCCCCCCACTCCAGCAAGGTGTAGACCCCTCCTGAAGGGTCCGGAACCCCGGCTTCCCCAGCCCCGCCTTCTCCCGGCTCGGGAAGCCCGGTGGCCTCGCCCCCAGCGCACGCCCCGCCTCCAGCGGAACAGGAAGCCCTGCGCCCCGCGCTCCTTACGCCGAAAGTCGATCGTCCCACAAGCCCTGCCCCGCCAGGTTCGGGAAGGACTTGGAATCCCAGCTGGTTATGCTCCTCCCAGTCCCGCCCGCAAAAGCCGCACCGCACCGGAAGGTGTCTCCGAGGCGGTCGCGGAAGTAGAGGAAGCCCTCGCGGTCCATGGCCATCACATCTCCAGTGTTAAAGTAAACGTCGCCCGGGCGCCTCACGTCCCGTACCAACTTCCGTTCCGTCAGCTCTCGGGGGCCGTGGTAGCCCGGAAAGGGGGCGTATTTAGTCACTCGTGTCACAAGGAGACCTGCCTCCCCTGAAGATTGGAGTAACCGAAAAACTCAGTCAGGTAATAACTGTGAACAAGAATCCCAGGAGCCCACCAGCCGCCGCCCGGGGTTTTTCCCCAGCGGTGGCCTCTTCATCACCTAGGACCCTGCCAAAGACAAAAGGGGAGAGAGAGAGACCCAGAGATAGAGGGAGAGAAACGCAGAGTCAGGGAGGTCTAGAGATGAGGGGAGAGAGACACACAAGAGACCCACAGATAGGGAGATAGACTCTGAAAGACAGACATGAGGAGAGATGCAGAGGCCAGAGAGACAGAGACGGTTGGAGACAGAGAAGGGAAGAGCCAGAGACACGGGCAGGAAGACACAGAAAACCAAAGACTGAAGCAAGAGAGCCCAGGACAAACAGGAAAAGAGTAATAGGGAGGGACGAGGAACAGAGACAAATGGAGATGAAAAAAGGGACACAGCTAGAGTCTTGCAAGGCCCCAGGAGAGAAGACACAAGGACAGAATTCAGGACAAGAGGAGATTGATGACTGGGAGCTCACAATCCCAACAGAAAGCTCAAGAGAACTTAGAGACAGTCGCTCAGAAGCCCAGAGTGAGAGACTGAGGCAGTGGGAGCTGGGGGACAGCCAAGAGGCAGAGGGCTCCAGAACAGTGGCCAGATCGGCTGGAGAGAGCGCCCCCTACCTGGCTCCACAGGGATGCAGAAGCCATGATCATCCCTCATGGGCTCCACAGACTCCGGGTCAAACCGCAGGAGCTCAAAAGGGGACAGCCACTGTGGCAGAGGGTGGGGCGCTATCAGTACACTCCCTGTGGGTTCAGCCCCAGTCCCAGACACTAATTAGGCATCCAGTCTACTCACTTGAAGGAGGCAGCTACTCTTGCCTTGGGCCCCACAGCGCCCTGGGTAGTTGATGAAGCCAAAGTTGCCCTCTGTGGAGCCATAGCATTCCCAGATACGAATGGGGCCGAATCGCTGCTGGAACTTCTCCCACACTTCTCCCCGGAGCCCGATGCCCAAAGCAAGGCGGACCTTGTGCTTCTGGTCCTCGGGTCGCTACAGATATCCCAAGGGACGTGAAGAAGCACCCTCAGGGCATGCCCTGGCACCCTTACCTTAGGGGGGTTACCTAGGGGTCTTTACCTAGGGGTACTGCTCTCAAGTTCGTGCCTGGGGGGCAGCTTAGTGAGGTGACTGATGGCCTATATTTAGGGAGCTCCTTGGGCTTCTTACATGAAAGTAGTTACCTGGAGCCTTTACCTGGGGGGTTATCTACAGGGGGGCCCCTAAGAAGCTTGATTGGGAAGTTACCTGGGGCCTTACTTGGAGGGGTTTTCTGGGGTCCTTTACCTGGGGGATGTATACGGAGACTTGTGTGGAACTTTCACCTGGAAGGATTACTTGAGGGCCTTCCTAGAGACAAGTTACTGGGGACCAGACCTCATCTGCTCTGTAAGGATGATGCTGGCTCACATCTAGTGAGTTTACTGAGTTCTAGGCACTTTACATGTAGTTTTTGTATTTACAAATATTTAAAACCAGGTGCCCTTGAGTTGATTCTGACTCATGGTCGCCTTATGTGTGTCACAGTAGGCTCTGCAATAGCTGGGTTTTCAATTACAGGCATTCCTTTCGAGGAACCTCTGGATGGGCTCAAACCTTCAGGCTTTCGATCAGCAGCCAAGTGCATCAGCCATCTGCACCACCCAGGGACTCCAACATGTATGTAGCTCATTTAATTCTCAGCACTCCTAGAGGTGGTGGCTGTTATTATCCCTGTTCTCCAAATGAGGACACAGAGGCTGAGGGAGGGGAAGTCACCTGCCCAAGGCAGCATGGCCGGTCAATGAACGAACCACAAGAACCTTGTGTGGGACTCTATCTGGAACCCTTGCCTGGGGTGTTTTACCTGAAGGACCTTGCTTAAATCCTATACTTTGATCTTCACCTAAGATCTTTATTTGGCACATCATCTGGATGTCTGTACCTGGGGGTTCACCACGGAACTCTAACAGCCTCACCCAGGGTCCTCTCCCAAGAGCCCTTACCTGGGGAACATGACACAGGTACCGCAGGATCTCACCCACATATATGATCACAGTCACACCATGCTTCCGACAGTCATCCCAAAAGCTGGAGGCAGAGAATTTAGGGGCCAGGATGCAAGTGGCTCCTGAGGGGAGGGTTAATGGGATTCAGGTCATGTTTCTAAGCCACTGTGAAAACCTCTTTCATTCTCTGAGTGTGGTCCCTGGAGTACAGGGACAGTGTTAGCATAGCCCCACTGCACGTGTGGGAACAGCTCAGTGGATAGTTCAAAGCACAGCTACTGGACACAGGCAGGGATAGGTCTGAATCCCATCTGAAGGATGAATGAAAAGGGTGCTCGGTTACAAAAAGAACACCCAGTAAGTGAGGGCTGCAAACACTAATCACTGTTGAAGATGATCAAAGATTTATAAAACCCCAGTGGGGCTAACTGATGGCTTTGATCACGGATGGGAGATATTTGAGGTCTTACCTGGGGGTGATTAGCTCGAATGTGTGGGTAAGAAGGTAAGTCCATGGGTGAATGGATGGGTAATGGATGTATAGATGGATCAATGGATCAACACTTGGGTAAATCTATTTCAGGGGTCAGCACGTTCACTCCAGGGAAGTGTGCCCTTCTTTCCTGATCCTACCCTATGCAGCTTTTTCTGTGGCAGGTGTTCTTACCTCACCTCTAACCTTCACCAAAATTCTGCAAGCTAAATATCACCATCCACACACCCAAACGGGCAACTGCTCATATGCCTTTGGAGGTAATGAGTATTTGTCTTTGAGGCCATATTTTTGGCGGGGAGGTAAAATATAATGCCCTCTCAGTGAAAACGTTTCCTACGCCAAATCCTTGAAAATGACACCTCTGTTAACATCCCCTAATGAAACGTGTGATACAAGAAAGCCTTTCAAGGGCAGGTAAAATGGGAAAGGCCCTCAAAAGGGATAGGGAGCTGTCACCATCTGAACCTCCCAATCCATCTTAGCATCTCTAAGGACAACAGGCATGGGCTGCCTCCAGTGAGGTGAATTCGGAAGCACACAGCACCCCCAGGAAGGTTCTTGCCAAGAATAACTGAACCTGAATCTAAGATGCCTCGAAAGGGAATTTCCAGCCTAACAGAAAATGCAGGAGAGGAGCAGAGACCTAACAAGTAACTACAGTGGGAAGTTTGTTTAGCTGCAAAAAGACAATTAGACAACTGGGGAAATTTGAAGACGGAGTGGGAAGTAGATGATATTAAAGGATTACTGTTAATTTTGTCAGATGTAATGATCACTTTGTGGTTACATTGTTAAAGTCCTTATATGTTGAAGATACCTGCAGTATTTATAAACAAAAACATACAAAGTCTAGGATTTGCTCTAAAATAATTTTTAAAATAGGGAAGTTTGTAGGAGATAAAACTGGCCACAGGTTAACAGTTGTTGAACCTGGGTGAGGATATGTAGGACGACATCAAACTATTCTATTTTTGTGGATGTCTGAAATTTTTCATAATGAAATGTTTTAAAAATGAGTAAAAATAGAGTAAAAAAGACAACAACAACAAAACCTAGGTGTCACTGAGCAGATTCTGACTCATGCTGACATCATGTGTCAGTAAAACTGTGCTCTGTAGGGTTATCAATGTGCTCCGTGGCTTATCAATGGCTGATTTTTTTAGTCATAGATAACAGGCCTTTCTGCCAAGGTACCCCTGGGGAGCTCAAACTTCCAACCTTTCTGTTAGTAGCCAAGCCCATTAACTGTGAAACAGAGGGACTTCAGGAAAAGGCAAGTGGGAGGTGATATATGAAACAAATACAGCCAAGTGCTGATGGTGGCTGAAGCTGGGTGGTGCCTATGTGAAGATTCATTGTTAAGTGTGTGTGTTTAGAAATTTCTGAGTGTGTACAGAAATTAACATAATAAAAATTCGAAAACAATTCCAAGTCAGGTATCCAGGGAGACATCTCTATGACCTACCAGGAGCCTTCAGAGGCCTGCCTGGATGCCTGTGGCTGTCCCTCATTCCAGCTCTCGTCACCTCATAACTAAAGCACAACCATTAGGGAATGTGTGGGTATCTAAGCCTCTTTTCAAGTGGTCCTGGGACTTAGGTGAGTTCCTTCCCAAAGCTGAGAACTGGGGTGGCAGGTAGCCTATGAGGTCTCGTCAACTTGACAGCCCCACCTCAAAGCACACTCTGGGATTCTGTGGATTGGAGGCGTCCCCAGGGAAGGGCTTACCCAGATGTAGGACTCCAAGGACTCCAAGGATGAGCCCCGTTGTGTGGTATAGAGGCAGGGCCGTGTAGATGACATCCTGAGCTGTAACCCCACACACGGACAGGAGACTTACTACGTGCAGCAGCCGCTCATGTGTGTAGATGACCGGCTTTGGGAGTCCTAGGGGACGAAGGAGCAGGAAGGGTGCAGAGGTGAAGGGGTACTGAAGTGGAATGGGTCAAAGATGGACCAGCAGACGCGTGGGATCTCTACCATCAGGGTTGTACTGGGTTTGCGGTTCTCCGATGTGGTCAAGTATGAGGATTCAGGGTTGGCTTTGGGGGGACAAATGGGATTTGTGGATCATCAGCCAAAAACAGAAGCAGTATTTCAGTGCTGAACCCTGGAATCACGCTGGTGGCTGGGGAGGGAGATCAGGTCAGGTCGTGTGGGATGAAAGGGTAGACCAGGTTTCAGAGGTCAAGTGTGAGGCACAGGTCAGGGCGAGAATTCGGAGGCCAGAGACCAGGGCTACTGAGGGCTCTTACCGGTGGTTCCTGAGGTGTAGATGAACAGGACAGGGTCTTTCTGGGTGATCCCTGTACGGAGGTGAGCAGGCACCGGGACCGAGGGAGCAGCATCCAGGGCGGCCCCCAGAGCCCCCACGCCTGGCGTTGGGGACACCTTGCTGAGGTAGAAGCAGCGGACGTTCTCAGCCTGCAGCTGAAGAAGGACCTCCTCTAGGTGTTCCCGGAGGTCTGCAGGGACCGGTGAGAGAGAGACTGAGGCAAGGGCCACCTGAGTTGGGAGTGGGGACCCTGAAACCCAGAGATAGGGACAGGACCTCCTGACACAGAGAGGCAGCTAGCAAAGGGAGAAAGCTTTCACGTTCTTTGGTAGCGATTCCACGATGGGTGTTTTTGTGGCGAAAAGGATGAAACACGTTGTGAAATAAAGCAAAATTGACGCCCTCAGGATTCCCTTGAACTCTAGGTGGCTCTGTGTTCAGCCTCCATTGCCATTCTTTGGACAGTCTGCCCCTGCCCCCTTCACTGACCATGAGGGGCTCTTACCTAGGTCGACCACCAGCAGCCGGGCCCCAGAGCTCAGGACGGCATGGACCAGAGGACCCCCCCGGCTGTGCGGGTTGATCCAGGCTACAGGGCAGCCCAGCTTGGCCAGCCCCAGCAACAAGCCCAGGGCAGGGATGGCCTGGGAGGGCAGGACCAGGAGGGCAGTCGGCTCCCTAACAGACAGGCCGTCAGAGCTGCCCAACTCGGCCTTGAGGGCCCACGCTGCCTGGCATGCCTGGGCATCCAGCTCTCCGAAGGTGACTGCGTGACCCCCAGGCCCCGTGCACACCAAGGGCACGTGGTCAGGCCGTTCCCGCACCCACTGCTCAAAGGCATCCACAAAGGTGTGGGGCGGCCGCCGGCTCAGCCGGACTTGCACCTGTAGCCTCAGGTAGATGCTCCGGACCAGGAAGGCCACATCGGCCGGCAGCCAGCGCAGCCCTGGGGGCACCCGTGGTGGGAGCAGGGCCAGTGTGACCGCCGCCACAGTCAGGTTGAGCCAGTGGGGTACCCAGGGGCCAAGCCAGGGCCGCGCCAGAACAGCTGAGCCAAGCAGAATTCCACAGGTGGTGTCCCCCAGCAACCAGCGCAGTGCCAGGGCCACCACTGCCAGCCCCGGGGACTGCCCGAGGGCCCATGGCAGCAGGAACAGCGGCAGCAGCAGGCCCAGCCTCAGCCCAACGCCCATGGCACCGGCTCCTCCTCAGAGTGGCAGTGGTGCAGCCTCACCACCACCCCAGGGGCTGTTTCTGACCTCTGCACCCTGGGGCAGCACAACAGGCTGCCTCCTAGAAACTGCTGACTATGACGGCCTGTTTGTTTTGCTCTGCTGGCCACTGCTTGGCTCCAGTTCCTATCTGTCCCTGACCACCTGGGCCCCACTCCTGTCCTCATCTGTAGGCACCCCTCCTGTCATCCCTTTGCCTCTGCCATCATCTCACTGACCTGTCACCCCTGTGATGGCCTCTGTTCCCCTCTGCCACTGTGACTGACTTCTGAGGACCCAGCTCCTGTCCCCTTCATTGGTACTAGCAGGCTCCTGCCATCCCTCCATGCTGTCCTTCATACCCAGCCCTGATGCTCTCCAGATGTCCCTGCTCCAAGGCTGGCGTCTCCCCCGCCCTTCTCCCCACACATCCAGTGTGCACCAGGCAAAGTCTTGCCCTCGGGGAGCAGACAGTTCAGTCTTCAAAACTGAAGGAAAACAAGTGTGATCTCGCCAGAAGCACCAGCTGGAAGGCATGCCTAAGAGGGAGGTGCTCCTGTGTACAAAGTTAACCCACAGGGAGATGGGCTTCAACCAGGCTACACCCCAAGCCACAGGACCTTGGATCCTGAGCTGCTGAGAGAGTAGGACTCAGCTACAGCCTTGGTGTCATGAACCTGGGAGCTCAAGCCCCTGCTAGTAAACAGCCCACACTCAGTAAGTGAGCAGGAGTGGTGCTGGAATTCAAACCCAGTTCTGTGGGCAGGGGCTGGGACACCCCGTGGTTGGACTGGGAAGCCTAACCTTGGCCCTTAACCTCCAGGAGTGGGCTGGGCTGAGAGGAAATGCAGTTGGTCAGGTCGCCCCATTGGGCCAGCTGGTAGGTGTGGCCAGGGGCTGTCCCACCAGCTTGCACTCTCCTCCCCCCAGCAGCTCCAGACCCTTAGGCCTAGCACCCAGGCCAGGAGACTCCCAGCAGAGAGAGAGCACGCTCCCCAAGGCAGGCAGCCAGGTGGACAAGCTGGGGCTGTCTTCAGCTGCCCATTGGCCCAACTCCCATACCACCCCAGAACTTGCACTCCCAGTGGCCAAGACACCCTGACCTCAAAGCTCTCCAGGGCCCCCAAAAGGTACTTGACCAATATAACTGTCCGATGGGGGTGGGGTGGGAGTCTTACATCCAAAGGCCCCCCAACAGTCTGGCTGGAGGATCTGGGGGCCTGGAAATGTTCATGGTGGGCAGCAGCCAGGATCCCATAGGTGACCTCCCTCTCCAAGACCCACCTCAGACAGGGCAGAACCTGCCCTTCCGCCCAGGACCCAGGCCTCCGAGAGCAAAGTGCCAGCCACGTGCCCATTTCTTCCCCAGGTTCCCAGAACACAGGCCCAGGATGACAGCAGGAAGCTGGTGCTGGGCAGGGGACGCTGCCCAGAGACGGGTGGGCCGAGCCTGACGTGCAGTCTGGGGGAGACACCCATGGTCCTGGTACTCACAGCTCAGGGCCCACAGTTCACAGTCCTTTATTATGTCCCAAGGCCCAGCCCCAAGTCCTTGGTGGGTCCACCCAACCCCCTTAGGCACCCAATGAAGGAGGGATATCCTGCTGGGGGGAAACGCCGGGCCTCACCCCACCCACGCAGGAAGGGAAGAGGGTAATGTGAACTAGGAGAGGAGCCATGAGGCAGGGCCCACCTCCAGGAGTCTGAGCTTGGTCCCCGTCTCAGAAGTGCTTGGGTTCCCGGAGGGTCCTAGTATGTAAGAGGAGATAAAGAGGGCTGGTCCCCATCAGGTCTGGAAAAGGGATGGAAGCAGGGCAGAACCTGCGCTCAGGAGCCTACGTGATCTGGTGGTGGAAGCATGGTTAAGAGTGGAAGCCGTGGGTTTGGCTAGCCCTGGGCACAGGGCACCGCCAGGCTAGGCCTGAGGAGACGCGGGGGCGTGGCCTCGCTGTGGCCGTGAGCTCGGCCGATCAGGGAGCGGGGTGCGCCGCCAGGTGGCGCTCCAGCAGAGCGCGGTGCGAGAAGACCTTGCCGCAGGCAGGGCAAGGCGCCCGCTCCGGGCGGTGCGTGCGCATGTGCACGTTGAGGGAGCTCTTCTGCGTGAAGCGCTTGGCGCAGACCGCGCACTGGAAGGCTCGCACGCCTGTGTGCGTGACCATGTGCTTGAGCAGGTAGTCGCGCAGCGAGAAGGATCGCCAGCAGACAGCACACTGGTGCGGCTTCTCCCCTGCGGGTGAAAGGACAGGCCGCGGGCACATCAGCTGGGCAGAAGCCCCCTGACGCCCCTGCCCAACCCGAGTCCCCCGCCCACTACCCGTCACCCCAGGATCATCGTACCGAGCAGGGACCCCTATTCCCTAATTCCTAGGCTTCCCTTCACCCCGGGCCAAGACACACATCAGGTTTCCTCCCCACCTTTGCACCCCAAACAGCACCATGGCCGGCTTTGGGAGGCACTCGGGAGGCTTAGCTTCACGACAATCCCTAACCCCATTCCCGTCATGCCCTGAGTCTCCTTGACTCTAAGCTGGTCTCAGTTCTGAAGACACTCTGGAAAGGCCCCCTCATCCCTACGCGAGGAGAGACCCGCCCCCTTCCTGCAGGAAGCCCTTCTGTCCAGACCCCGCCTGCTGGAATGTCTCCGGGGTGACACATCTGTCTGGACCCCTCAGCTTGGATCCAGGGAGGGTAGTCAGTCTTGGTCGGCCGCAGGGGTCTGCAGGGCACTGCCTGCCGGAGGGTCCCGCCTGACCAACCAGGTCGGAGCACCCTTCAGGCAAAGCCCACACTGCCTTGGGGCCTCAGAAGGGCCCCACGCACTGACCACCCAGCACTCCTTGTACCTACCACCTTCCTTCTGCCCTTCTGTCCTCTCCCCATCCTCCCAAAGCAGTTCAAGGGAGATCTGATGCTTTAAAGCACAGCACTCCCCAGTTCAGAACATTCCAACTGCTTCACCTCCACTCACCGTGAACCCCAAGTCCCTGCCCCTGCAGATCTTCACACATACACAGGCACTCCACTCCCCACTGTGGAGTGGCCTTCCAGTGAAGTCTCTGCTCTCCTTGACAAAACCAAGCTCAGCCTTAACCCAGCACGCCTGTCCCCTACCACCTTGGCCCTGGCTCAGCACAGCCAGCCCCACTTCCGAGCTCCACCGTCGCACACTTGCCACCTCCCTAGACCCTGCACAGCCCTGTGTTGGTCTGAGGGGACCTTGCTGCAGCCGTGGTGAAGCCCCCTCTCTCCTCCCTTCTCTGTGTGGAGTGCCTAAGTCGCAGCGCCTCCCTCCTTCCACCTGGGCAGTGGGTCCTCAGGCCCCAATCTGGCCCCTCTCTGCCAGTGCCCCATGCTCTCCTGAGGTCAGTGCACTCCCCCACAACCCCTGACCCAGTGTCATCCAGAGAGGGCCCAGCCTAGCCAGAGCTAAGTGGGCCTAAGGCTCCCACTAAAGGCTAAAGGCTCTGCCACCATCTTTCCAAACGCCCTGGGCAGGTTCCTGCTTCCCCCATCCAGCCTCAGAAGCCTCATCGGTAAATCCAGGTGGTGGGACAGACAGGGAGGAGCACTCTGTTGCCTGCTCTCCCCGACTCAGTCTGCCCACAGGTAGCGTACTTGAGCTACTGAGGCTCCCTGGGGTCACCAAAGAGAGACAGGCCTGGATGGGAAGGATCCCCAGTTTACAGAGGGAAACCAGTCCTGGAGCCTTGTGGCTCCCTCAGCAACCGTCCCTGTTGTCTGTGGGGCCCTAGGACCACATAACCAGGAGGGACAAAGAGAGCCTGCACCAAGAGCCCCATGTGCACCTGGACCCTACCCCGCCCCTCCAGGAGTGAACTTCCAATGACCAGAGACCAAGGTGCCCACCAAGGTGCCCAGAGAGCCAGGCATGGAGGTCCTGCCCCAGCTCACCGGAGTGGATGAACATGTGCTTGGTGTAGTTCTTCCGCGAGCTGAAGGTTTTGCGACAGTGGGTGCACTCATAGGCTGGCGTCTCCGAGCCTGAGCCACGTGCGGGGGTACCCGAAGGGGCCGGAGCAGGCGCAGGTGGGGCCGGGGCCTCCCCAAGCTGAGCCCCCGGAGCCGCGTCCGGGGGCTGGAGTGGGTAGAAAGCAGGTGGGGGCGCGGGCGCTGGCCCAGAGGGTGCAGGTGGCCCAGGAGCACCCAGGTGAAAGGGGAACAGTGAGGAGGGGGGCCCAGAGGTCTTCACGCCTGGCGGGCAGGGGGCGCCCAGGACGCAGTCGGCTGGGGTGGGGGTCTCGGCAGGACAGCTCTCGGCCGCAGTTCCATCCTCATCGTGCCAGGCTGGGACGAAGCTGTCAGGGATCACCTCTTCAGCCGGTGCGGCCCCCCGGAGGAAGTCCCTCCCGGTGCCGCCATAGGCGGGGAGCCCTGCGGTCACAGGGGGCCCCTCGAGCGCGCTGTCTCCAGCAGTGGCGAGGAAGCTGGCGGCGCAGTCAGGAAAGGCAGGGGGCGCCTGGCCTTCTCCGGGGCCACCGCTGCCCCCTGCTGCGTCCTCACCATCGGTCTCATCCTCTGTCTCGCCGTCATCATCATCTCCACCGTCGTCCGGGGCTGCGGAGATCGCCAGGTCCGCGTCAGACGCCTGGGCCTTGGTGGGTGCTGGCGGCTCAGGCAACTGCAGGCGCGCAGGCTGGCGCTGCTTGCGGCTGTGTGTGGCACCAGGGTGGCCTGGGGGGCGAGCGGCCAGGAGGTGGCGCAGGCGGTGGCGCAGCTGCGCGGGCGCCAGGGGCGGGGGCACCGGTGCCGGAAGGGGCGCGGGAGACGGGGTGCTCGGGGCAGGGGCGCGCGTCCGCGCGATGATCTGCGTGCACTCGTCGATGACCGTCTGGATGCGCAGCACCGACGCGGCCGTGAGCACCTGCAGTGCCTCGCCCTGCGCCACCACCAGAGAGCCGCTGTAGAGGAACTCAACGAGCTGGCGCACCGTCTGCGCAGGCACCACGGGCGGCACTCGGATCTCGGAGTGGCCGAGCAGCAGCTTGTCCTGGAAGAAGGGTGAGCCGGCAGCCAGCACGCAGCGGTGTGCTCGCAGCGAGGCTTCACGGATGCGCACGGTCACATCGCAGAAGTGCCCGCCCAACCGCTGCCCGTTGAGGGTCTCGAGCAAAGACCGAGAGAAGTTTTGCAGGTGGATGTGGTGTACTGCCTCTGCTGCCGCCATCTGCACAAGACAGGGAGGTGGGAGGAGAGGTCAGCTGGGACACACGGCACCACCTGAGGTCCATGCCTGCGCCCTCAGACCTCCCCGAGACCTCCGCAGGTTTCTTCACTTCTGCAGACCCCAGCACACTGCACACCCCTGAAAGAGGATTGGGGATAACCCCCTGCCAAATGTCTGCCTCCCTCTTCCCCATCCTTGCTGACCGAGGGCCCAGGACTCAACCTGCCCATCTCTAGCCCACCCACTTCAAGTATGCCTCCCCCGTGTCCCCTCCCCAGAGGCACCTCGGTGGAGAAGAGGCCAGGGGTTCCACCCAGAACAGGCTGCCCCTCAACCCAGAGAGCAGAGCAGACCGGACCAAACCGTGGAAACCTGCGGAAACTAAGCCCTAGCTGCGCCCTCTCCCACTCACCCATCCCCCAGCCTCTGAACATCTAAGGCCCAGTGCAGACCAGGCACTGCTACCTTAGCACAGGGTAAGGTCAAGGACTGTATGGGGAGGTCCTCCCGGGAGATAGGCAATGGAGTGGGGAGGCCCTTTTTAGGGGGTGGGAGGGGGGTTGGAGTATCCCTTCCTGGGGATGGAAGGTAGGCTGGGATGTCCTTTCCTGGGGGATGGGAGGTGGGTTGGGGTGTCCCTGGGGGATGGAAGGTAGGCTGGGGTGTCCCTTCCTAGGGGATGGGAGGTGGGTTGGGGTGTCCCTTCCTGGGGGATGGGAGGTGGGTTGGGGTGTCCCTTCCTGGGGGATGGGAGGTGAACTGGGGTGTCCCTTCCTAGATCCCCTAGGATCCCCATCCTGGGAAGGAAGCTGGGGTGTCCCTTCCTGAAGGATGGAAGGTGGGTTGAGGTGTCCATTCCTAGGGGATGGGAGATGAACTGGCGATTCCGGGAATGCATAACACAGAGGAGGATAAAAGGTGGGGCACTGGCCTGGCAGATGCCCCACATGAGGCCAGATGTGGTCCCTGGCCAATCCTAGCCCAGCTGACAGGGAGGTGCCTCCTGTGGCCTCTTGGGGGTATCGTGGGGCCTGTGGGACACAAGATGTGGGTGTGGCAGAGAGAGAAGGTGTGTGTGGACATGCGCAGGAGTACAGTGCGTGACTGGGTGGGCATAGGTGGAGTAGGCTGGCATGGCTGGGCAATCCAGAGCTTTTTGTAGACTCTTGTCCAGTGATTTGGCCACTTACTACCCTCAGGCACTGGAAAGTAGTGGTACTCCCAGGGACTGTGCCAAGCCCCTGCTACCTCGCATGCCAGGAAAGACCCCACACTCGCTGGATCTGTTTTCTCTGACAAACAAGGATAAGGCCTGAGCTGTACACACCCCCAAGCTGCAGCCGGAGGAGAGCGAGTTAGGGCGCAGGGCGCACCCTGAGATCCACCCACTCTCCACCACTCTGGTTCTGTGTGGAGTCGCACAGCCCCACAGGGAGTCCCGCTACTTCCCGTCCCTACTTCGTCGGTGTCTTTCGGGATCTCAGACTCAACTCTTCCGGCTCAAGTCCTCACCGCCTTCCGATTGCTCGGACCAGACCCCTCTGTTTCTTGCATCCCCACATCTGAGTCCCTAGCCCCCTTCGCTCACCTCCACTGTCCTGATTACTGCCAGCCTGCACCGTTGGAACAGACGCCTCGCAGGACCCCGCCGCGCCCCCCACCTCCCCGTCGATTCCCCGCGCAGCAGCCAGAGGGAGCCCGTTCAGACCTAACGCAGACCAGGACCTCGGCTCAGGTCCCTCTATGACGATGAATTCTTGGTATTCCTCAAACGGCACGTGCCATTACTTCAGCCAGAAGCACCCTTCGCGGTCTTTACTCGCCAAGCATCTAAGGGCCTTCAAGTCCGGCCCAGATGATAGGAGCCGAAACCCGCGCATCAGCTCGAAAGGACAGACCTCCGCGGACCCACTCGCCCTGCTGCCCTGCGGGCTCTGATTCTTCCTTCCAGATGCAGGGCAATCCTGGACGCCTCAGAACAAAAGCCCCCCTCTGAGACCAGGCCCCCCAATGCCACTCTCCCAACCTGACGTCGCATTCTTACCGCCACGCCTCTGCCCACTCCACCAATTGTACGCCGAGCACCCTCTCCCGTACTCCCCAGCATTGCTAGCGCCCCACCTGCGCCCCGAGCTGCACTTGTTCAACCCCCGCCGCCCTAGGGTGCCCGCCCCCGCGCCGTGCTCTGGTCCTGCAGCGCCCCCTCGCGTCCGCCGCAGCGCGCGCTCTACGACTCTCCGAGCCCAACACGAGCGCCGCTCCCCTGGCACGCGCTGTGGTCCTCGCGAGCCCAGCGGCCAGGGGATGTCCGCCCGCTCGGCTTACCTCCTGCTCCTTCTCGGGCACCTGGCCGGGCAGTGGCTGCCTCCTGCTCAGCGCCACCAAGGCCGCACTTCCGGGCCGCGGCCCAGGCGGAACCCAACTCCGCCGCGGCCGCGGCGCTGGGGAGCGCTGGTCCGGAGCACGTTTCCGGCGTTTCCATGGAGATCAGCTGCGCGGCCCGGCCGCACTTCTGGCCCCCTACCCAGATGGAACCAAAGTCTTGAATGCTGAGGCTGACAAGGCGCCGGGAAGCTCTGGACCGGAGCACGTTTCCGGCGTCACCTTGGCGACTGGACGGGAGCGGGGTCTGCGCTGTCAATCCGAAGGCCACGCCCCTGCGCGTACGCGTGAGGCTGGAGGTGGTGAGCAGTGATGGAGGACGCACGGGCGGTCTGGGATGAGGCCCTGTGGCCGGGCCGGGCCGGTTTAAACGTCGCTGCAACCACGGGAGACGGCCTTTTGCGCGTAATGCAGTGGGGACTGCAGTCGCGCTTGCCTCCTCGCCCGTCCTGCCCCATCCCCGCGCAGGGCACAGGCGAGAATGGGAAGCTGACCCCACCGCAGCCGTTGCTCCCACTCTCCTCTGCAGACGGAAGGTGGAGGCAGTCAGACCCTAGGCCCTTCAACCCCTCCAGACGATGAGTGAATGAACGAACGGGTGCGTGCCTCCTGCACGCCACACCCTGGGCCAAAATCAGAAAAGTAATGGGGAGGAGGGAGGCTGTAGTTTCACAGGCCAGCAGAGTGGCAAGGGGCCAAGCCCCGAGGACCTGAAGGCACCAGACGGCACAGAATCTATGGGAAGGGCCGTGCAGAGGAAACAGCCTCTTGTTTACTGGGTCCTGGGCTGGGACCAGCTGTGCACAGTGCCGACCAGCCAATGAGACTGGAATGGTGGGCTGAGTGGGTTTGGATTCTACTGTGTGTGTGGGAGGTACTGGAGCTCAAGGTCAGAGGGTCCCGAGGCCCTAGTGGATCCCATGCCACCTTCAGTAGCTCAACAGGTGTGAAGGCCAGCAAGAGGACTGAGGTGTAAACCTCAGGGAGAGGGACCAGGCTGGGGGGCCTGCCCCCCCAGGCAGCTGCTGGGCTGCTGTGTAGCAGGTTAGGTGTTTGAAGGTCAGGGAGTGAAAGGTACAGGCCAGGTGAGGAACCACTGCGTCTGCGTGCACGTCTGTGGGCACGCCTGAAGTAACCTCACAAGTCTGATGGCCTCCTTGTCCCTTTTCACAGCCAAGCCCCTTACTGTGGACTGCCCAGGCCCTTCCTGTCTGCTCCCCATTCTTCCCTTCTCTTTGCAGCTCAGTCATCTTCTTCAGCCTCACCCACCCTCTGCTGTGCCCACCTCTGTCCCCAGAACTGGTATGCCTGGGCTGTGTTCCCTCTGCCTGTAGGGCCCTCCCACACAGGTCAAAGGCCACCACATCCCCCAGGGGTCCTCCCTGACCTCCAGCTTTCCTTCTGTCGAGATCTGCAGGGACAGTGGGCCATCTGTGCCCTTCACCTCAGCACACAACATGTGACTGGAGGTGCCAACAGCCACCTCTGCTCTTGGCCTCCACTAGGCTGGACCCCATAGGTTGCTGGGAAATTGTAAGTAGAATTGATGCGGGAAGCAGAATTATAGTAACACCTTCCCTGAGATTCTGTGCCCTGATCCCCTGGAACCTGTGAATGTGGCAACACCTGTAAACAGTTATATTGCGTGGCCGAAGGGACTTTGCAGATGGCACAGGAGGGTTGTACTTTCATGCTGACTGACAGGTAGGTGATCCCAGCCCATCTGGCAGCACCACAGAAAGGCCTGGTGACCTATTCTGTAAAGATCACACCCAAGAAAATCCTGTGGCGCTCAGGTCTACTCTAACTCACAGTCTTTGAGAGTCAAAACTGACTCCTGGTAACTGGTAGTCAGCTGACCCAAAAATAAGAAAGTGGGCCTGGATTGATTGTGTGGGCCAGATGGTTCAGTCTCGAGTACTAACCTACAGGATTGTGGTTTGACCCAGCAGTAGTACAATGGAAGGAAGTCTTTATGGAGATCTTCCATAAAGATCACAGCCAGAGACAAGGGTCCTATAGGTGTATTTGTATGATCTGAATTCCCAGGTGTATAGTGGGTCTGACAGGGGACAGGGTTGTGGTCACAACCAGCCAGCTGCCCAGAGGGACCGAATGGGTGGGCCTGTGGCCTCAGGACCATAGTCACAGGGGACATCAAGCTCAACTGACATAACATGCTACACAAAACTGTTCCACCTTCTACTTTGGCGAGTAGTGACCGGGATCTTAAAAGCTTGCAGGCGGCCATCTGGATGCAGCGATGGAACTCTCCTTGTCCAGAGCAAAGGAGAATGAAGACAACCAAAAATTCATGGAAATAATTGGTCCTGGTGACTGGAGCACCATGCAGGCCACAGGCCAGAAGAACTAGATGGTGCCCAGCTATCATTGTGGACCACTCAGAGGGGCATCTGTGTACGTGATCCTGGATAGAGAGGGAGAACAGTGTGGAACAAAACTCAAAATCATTTGGGGAAAAAAAAAAAGGGGAGGGGGACCAGCTTTGCTGGTCTGATAGAGCCTGGTGGAACCCCTGAGACTATGGCCCTTATCTGCCCTTCAAGTCGAATTGAACCCACATGTGTGGCTTCCAGCCAAACAAGACAGGCATAGGA